ATATATATATATATATATATATATATATATATATATATATATATATATATATATATATATATATATTCGAATATTTTTAGAACGTTCTTAGGATATATATGGGCATTTACGCGTACGTTACTGCAGTTTCGTCGCACATGCGCAAATAACTCCCTTCAAATTACGCTTTGCGAATCTTTCGAGAAGAATGCAAGATGAGTTAGACGTAGAGATGCCCGATTCTTAATCGATTCGATTCTTTCCCTAACAAATTTAGGGAAAAAGAGTTGTTTGTGCTGCTTGCATGTTTCATACTTTTCGCTTTTAAAAAGAGATGGACGCCTAATCAGACGCTTGGAAGAAATAATCGAGTTGGTTGTCTCGTTTTTGCTTCTTCAAAACATTCCAATATACTTCTGTCTAGTTTTAAATACGAAAAGTGCGAAAAGTGCAAACAACACGAATAAGCCTATTTTTGGGGAAAGAATCGAATCGATTTAGAATCGATGTTAAACATCTCTCTTTTTTCCTCCCAAAGATAACTTGACCAAATTTTATATGCTTGGTGTATGTGGTCTCTTTCAAAGTTCATTTACTCTTATCGACTGACGCATCATTTAGATATCTTCGTGTCTCCTGACCAAAAGAAGCTCTCTAGGACAGCCCTGCGAAGCGATAGCAAGCCGGCACACGACTTATCTCGCAGACATCTCTAGTTAGGCGACAGTTTCCCGAAAAGTGAAGGGGATAATGTTGGTAATAAGGAAAATCTCTACATGATATAATTTAAAGATTCTGTTCTTTGTGTAACTGCACTGCTAAATTGGTGCAATAAATTGAAATGAGGCAAGTACACGTTTTCTCACTCTAACCTTTTGCATTAGTTCAGCAGTGCAGTTACAAAAAACAGATCTTTAAATTATATCGTGTAAAGATTTCTCTTGGTACCAACATTATCCCCTTCACTTTTCAGGAAACTCGCCTAACCGCAAGATGGAAGGAATCCTTATGAAGGTTTGACTTTTAAAAAAAATTGCTGACAAGCGGCCGATTGTTCCAACCTCTTGGTAAACTACCGGACTAAGTTAAATCATGTGTTTGCTTTGTCTAATTTTAAGGAAAAACGAAGATAGACATATAATTTAACTGTCAAGTAGTTTACCAAGAGATTGGAACAGAGTTGGCCCTTAAATTCCAATATGCTCTTCGCTTTCTGTTTCTTGATTTCTATCTTCTTCTAGCTATAGGTTTTAGTTTTAAGTTAAAAAAAAATAAAAAGAAACAACAGAAAACAAAAAGCACATTGTAGATTTGGGTTAAAAGATAAAATTTCGATAAGTACGTAATTGGAATGAATCCTGACATTCTTTGTTCGTTAATTGTCAGGAACTAATTCTTTAATTTTACGCATGAATGCGTTATCAGATCTTGTTTAAGATTGCAAAAGTGACATTTTGACGTTTCGTATATATGTATTTTTATCAGAAAATTATTCGCTCACGTGTAATAGCGAATAGTTTGAGAGGTAATCATGTGGAAAAATTAAAAGAGAAAATAGCTTATGTGTGTATAGATTTTTTTTTATTATAATTTTATATATTAACTTCTTACTTATTATTTATAACATTCTTACTCTTCTCCTGCTGATTGCGCGTTACGCAGATAACTTTCTGATAAAAACATATATGTACAAAACGTCAAGTTGTTACCCAATGAGATATAACTTGTCGATCGATGTCGAAACAATATCGAATTTGACGATTTCGACATCGTTTCGACGTTGATCGACAAGTTATTTCTCGCTGAGCAAAATGTTACTTCTGTTTTGAACATATTCTTGCTTGACGAATGAAGCACTAGTCACAAAAAATAATTAAAATTAGATACGGGTATGACTAGCTGAAACTTGTGACTATCGATCTGGTGAATGTGTTGATATTGCAACAGTGGAACTAAGCATATAATTAGAATAAAAAAAAAATTCTTTATTCTTCAATTGTTCAGAAATATTGCAGGTATTTTTATTTATATTTTGTAGCTAAGAGCGCAATCTACGCTTATCTAAATGTTCGAAATTTCAAGAAAAGCCTGGTTTACTTGAACACGTGGAAATTTTACGAGACATATAATTCGAATAAAAGAAATATTCGTGCCTTTTTATTCGTTAATTGTTCAGAAATATTTTAAGCAAGTATTTTTTATTTATATTTTGTACCTAAGAGCGCAATATACGCTTATCTAAATGTTCGAAATTTCGAGAAAAGCTTGGTTTACTCGAGCACGTGAAAATTTTACGAGACATACGAAAAAGATGTTTTGGAATGCAACCCTAGATATAAGAATGCTATATAACATAGATATAATGCAAATAAAATTATTAATTAAAGAAGATGAGTGCATTATCACGCAAAATCGTGCAATAATCTTCTTTAATTAATAATTAAAAACCTATGTAATTATTTGGAAAATGGTAGAGAACTTTTTTGCTCAATTTGACCTAAAGTATAAGTACACGACGGCAATCGTCGCTACTATAATTCATTTACCATATTCTGCATGATCATTTACAAATTTTCTACAATTAATATCTCGATAATTATTGCGAATATCAAAACGGTATAGGATTTATGTTCACCTCAACCTGTTCTACGTTCCTGTATACAACGATGATCACAATTTATACTATGGAGTCCAATTTTATGGTAAAGTGGTACACTTTTTAATCAATGAAAATTACTATTACACTAGTAATCCTTTCTATTTGAATATATACAGAGAGATGGAAATAAATAAATAAAAATAGCTCTAATAGCATAAAATGCCTGAAGACATGCCTAGGGGACACTAGACGCATAGAATGGCTTTAGGATGATTCTGGAATATCTTGTGTTATTTAGGAGCTAATTAATTTAGAATGGCAAGATATTTTTATGCTATTATCTCTTTACTAAAAATATTTTTGATACGAAATATATAATTATAATATTTTTAGGAGCATACTTTTACAAATTGATATTTAAATGGTAGCTTGTAATCTCTGTGTACAATTAAATGCCTATAATTTCTGGGAAATAATAATTTATATTAATATTAGTAACACGTTATATTTCTGTTATATAACAGCAATTTCGTATAAGTGGGAAATTATAACATGTATGTTACATGTAACAAACATGTTATATTGCATGTTACACTCCGTTATATTACACAATATAACTGTTATATTATTGTGTTTGCTGAGGTATTGTAAGCAGGTATTTTTTATTTATATTTTGTATCTAAGAGCATAATCTACGCTTATCCAAATGTCCGAAGTTTCGAGAAAAGCCTGGTTTATTCGAGAACGTGGAAATTTTACGAAATATACGATTCGGATAAAAGAAATATTCGTACTTTTTTATTCGTCAATTATTTAAAAGTATTTTTTATTTATATTTTGTACCTAAGAGCGTAATCTACGCTTATCTAAATGTCCGAAGTTTCGAGAAAAATCTGATTTATTTGAACACGTGGAAATTTCACGAGACATACAATTAGGGTAAAAGCAATATTCATGCTTCTTTATTCGTCAATTATTTAGAAATATTATGAGCGAGTATTTTTTATATATATTTCATATCTGATACGCGCTTATCTAAATGTTCGAAATTTCGAAACAAAAGTTTATTTTATTGGGACACATGGAAATTTTGTGAATATATAATTGAGATGAAAAAAATATTCATATTTTTTTATTCGTCAGTCACTCAGAAATATTCGGCGAGATTTTTTTTTATCTATACATATTTCGTGATTGAGAAAATTCACGCTTATCTAAATATTTGAAATTTCGAGATAAAAGCTTAGATTCATTTGAGCACATAGAAATTTTTGAAGACTTATAGTTGATATGAAAGTTAAGACTCATAGTTGTTATGAAAGAGATATTTCCTGCCTCTTTATTCTTCAAGTTTTCAAAAATATCGAACATGATTTTTAATTTTTATCTTTTCTCTGGCTGCGCGTAATCGACACATATCTAGGCGCTCTGTATTTCCAGGAAAGAGCTGTTTGTTTGATCTGTTTAAACAGAACTTCGATGACGTATAATATATAGAGTATTCCATAACACGCGACTTTAATTTTAGAAGGTTCTTTAAATAATTTCGAAAAATTGTTTTTTAATTGCTCATAGAAATTCTTGATAGAATTAAAGTCTTGAGGCCTGAGACATCCCGTATAATTGAGATGAAAAAGATATCCATATATCTCTCTGTAATTAAATATTTATGTTTCTTTAATTTTTACTCAAACTGTTCAGAAATATCAAACGTTATTTTTAATATTTTTATTTCATACGTATGTAATCCAGCTATTTGAATGTAGAGAACATAGAGATGTTCCGTAATGACTATATAAGCTTATCTCTATATCGCATATTCATCATTCAAGTTTATTGATTGTTACCTTCTTTGTTTACGTTAAAAGCAACTTTTCTTTATCATGAAAGTCGAATAGATATATAAAGCTTAACTTTTATAAAATTTTAGCAAGATTGATATATATTTCCTTGTTTACCTTATATTATGAATTTATTTTATTTTATTATTCACATTACACACAAATTTATTGAATATATAAATATTATATATATATATTTGATAATCCTATATTCAATATATATATATATTTGCTGATGTTATGTTGTTATCGATGTTACATACAAATTTATTGAGCATTCATAATATTTTAGATATATATATAAATCTTGCTACACAACGCATGTACAATATATGTAAATGTATTTTCAATTCATGTTCATATGTAGCAAAGTTCTAATGAGTTTGACAGCTATTAGAAAACTAAGGTAACAAGGAGAAAAAAGTGGCAATTGCCTGGCACGTTCTTGTTCTTGTCAGTCAAATTCATTATAGGTATACAAATAAAGTTATATAACAATTCTCTCTATCCCATTTACGTCTATATTTCTCACGTCGAGATACACAGTCACCTGTATTTTATATACTCACATTTTCTCAATTTTCTTGACAAACATGAAGTCAGTTTGTTAATGTTTCTATCTACAAGAAGATACCAATGACACTTACCATTATATATATTCAACAATCATCGTGAATAAGATTTGATAGTTCTGATATGAGATGTACACTGCTAAATTTGAGAATTTGAACACATTAAACATGAGTATGATAGATGCTGGAAACGATTGATCTTACAAATTGGGAACTACACCATATTCACGAAAATGTTGAACATCGCTTAAACTGCTTTACTTAAATAGAGTAGTGGTTCATGAATACTTGCTTATACACAAAGAAGTTGGCACTAACCAAAGTCTCTCGCGCCTTATAACAAAACTGAACCAAACAACACGAGAGTTATAATAAAATACAAACTATATTAGTTATCTTTTAATATATTAAACACATTCTACTTGGTATTAAATATTAAATATTTTCGCTCAACCCATCACTCTCTGTGACGAGAGCTCGTTCCAGGATAACACGCCCTTCCTTGTATCGTTGATTCTCATCTGTTGCAAATTCATACACCCATCCGAGTTTTGCATCACAGTTTTTGCAGCTGACATCTCGAACCATATGACGACCAGTCAGCATCACTCTATCCTGTACCTCGCTGTACATTGTGTCATAGTTAGTTGTGCAAATAGTAGATATTGTATAATTGTGAATTTGATATTTGTATTTCTCTAACTTTTTATTGTATATATTCCTTAAAATTTTTAAAACATCTTTTTATGAAGATTATCTTCTAGTAGAAATGATATAGAAAAATAGAAAGCAGAAGAGAATAGTAATCCAAACATATATGTATACACACACACACACACACACACACACACACACACACACACATATATATAATTAGAATTTTAAGAAACTCTAAGACGTTAACTAAATAACCGACTATAATCATTAATATAATCTGACAATAATATTATTTTAATGTGTTGCTAATGTAACCAATAAAATGTCGATATTACTAAAAATGGAATTTAACAAATATCTTATTGTCACACAGCTCAAACGTTACTTGGTAAACGAATGCATATGCAACGTATGTACAATTCGCTCGAGATACTCGAGTTTTTTTCTAACGAGTATTTCCTCTATAGGAGAACAGATAACAGATGCACCTGTAATTTAGGTTGACGACTTTATTGAAGAGGAACGCGCGTCCCGTAGCACCCGTGAAGCGTGTACTTATCAGCTGTCCCCTGTTGGTGAGGTTGGTGTCGCAGGAAGCGCAGGAGAACAGGCGGGTGCCGCCGATGTGCTCGAGAAATATCACTCCCATCTCAACGGATGGTGGAAGGACCCACAGTTAACCTCGAAATGTAACTCGCAATCGACGGCGTTTGTCTATCGAACGAATCGATAGGCCCCGACGCGCGGAAAACGAAAGCCACACGACCGTCGTAGCTGCCACGATGCGTCAACTGTGCGTCGTGTGCATGCTGTTGCGTGTGTACCAACATCGTCGCGGACGCTGAGAAGGGGTTGAATGTTTCTATAGCGAACCATGAGTAGTCGGTAAGATAGAGCGCTGAAGCTTTCGGCGCGAAGTATGACGATATCACATTTGACTTGAGAATCTATACGTAGAGTCAATAGATATATTATGACGCAACATAAGCAATTATACATATTTTTATGATCACAAATAATAATTTTGATGTTGCAATTCGCGCGCGAGTAATTAAGATAATCATACAATATACAAATATGTTACATCAAAATATTATATTTTTATTAATCATATAAATGGTATACAATATGTACACGTACATAGATTCGTGTGAATTACAATTCTTTTAAAGCTAGGTACATAGATGTTTTGTGCAGTAAAATTCGAAACATACTCCCCTGATTTTTTTTCTTTTTTGCTAAACATCCGGTCATTATACAGTGGACAATTAAGCCCGATGGTAAAGTGTCCTGCAACAAATGCACAGGTGCACTGCAACAGGTAGGTACAAATGACAGCCAAAATGCAGTCAGAAGAGCGAAACGAATCGAAAATATATTGTTGGTCGTTATCTAATCACTATGTTCATATCTTTTCAAGGCACATTTGAAATATAATCAGTACATTTCCTTCCAAACTACAGAGAAACCTATTAACGTCACGTCACGTACTCGCTCCTATCACTTTACAAACAGTTCATGAAGTTTAATTATTAATAAAGTTACAAAGTTTCATATATACATGTATACATACATAGAAAGAGAAAAGGAGAAAAATAGAAAGAATTTTATGTATATATGCAAAGAGAGAGAGAGGGGAGATAGAGAGAAAGAGAGAGAGGAGGGGAGGAGGAAGCAGGAGAGAAAAAGGAGAAAAGAAAATCAATAGAAAAATATAAAATATTAAAAATTCCTTTAGCCGAAATCACAGACAAGTCTCTTACTTTCTCAAACAGAGCACAAAGTCGCACTTCCTCGTGTGATCTTAAAATATATATATATATATATATATAAATATTATAAATATACATTCACATATGTATATGAATAGTCTTATCGCTATATATTACATGCATACACGAATATACACGTATTTCAATATAAAGGGACACTCGTCTATCATGCGTGCGCGTATATGCAGTTAATTCTGTACATTATTTAAATTTATACGCACGTACCTATTCGCGCGTATGCATGTAGTAACGTATAAACAGTGGTCGCATAGGTGTGTATGTGTATCCGTTATTTTGATTATATCCTTTTTGATGTTCAGGTCTTATCGTGAAGGATATTCCATTTTGCATCTGTATGTAATACTGCACCTATACCTATGTACATCAAACGCCAGTAGAATACAAGATGAAATATTTTCGCCCTTATTATACATTATCGGAAAAAATGGGTTCCTCCCAGATGTTACATCTTGCGTCGAACCAATGTAGTGGAAACGTCCTAATTTGTTTCGTATAAAAGAAAAGTAACAAAGTAACAACAAAAGATAAATTTATTTTAAGGAAATAGAGAAGATATATCCCTCGTGTTTACTTCCTTACTTAGCTCAAATCAAACTATCTTCACGTATTAGTCATCATAGCTATGTATTATCTAATAAAATTTGTTATCGGAATTGACGACTGACGGAATTTACCCATAAACATTTCGGTGAAAGATCTATGTAAATGTCGAAAAGGAGAGAAACATGCACGATTAAAAATATCATCGTGAGAACTCTTAATAATACATAATAAAATATTTACTATTTATAAGGAAGTAATTATAATGTACTAGACAATTCAATATTGTTTCATGTACAATTAGGTGCAACGTGTTGAATAAAATTATATTATTTCCCAAACCATAAAATTGGAAAATGACTTCTCATAGAACTTCTCATAGAACCTCTCATAGAACAAAAATATAGAGAGAAATGATACTTCTTCTCTTTCTCTGTTTGGTTGATAAAACAATTATTTCAAGTAAATAGAGAACACCTCCCTCACGTATACTGAATAATGGAATAGTCTATATTCAATAGCAGTCGTAATATTAAAATCCGTAGTAGTAAAGATTAACAATAAAGATATTAACAGTAATCATTATTGATATCGTCACGGATACCGCAGCAGTATCATTTTATAACAGCACTTGGAGAAATATATCTTAATAGTTCCAGTGATAGGAAATTGCATGGAAAAAACCTTTCAAAAGTTTCAGCCCTCATAGTACGATCCTATGTAAAATATCTCATTCATTTTGTATCCATCAATCAGTACGATTAAGCGTTATTTTTGGTAAGTTTTGTTCTGTTGGCGGCAACTGTTGCAAGACATGCTAGAGCTTCAAGATCTGGAGACGCGCACCAAGCTATTAACATGCAAAATGTTAATTAGAGTGTAAATAGAAATATATAATATCTCAGCACACTTGCCAACATTCTTACATAAGATTCTCAAAAGGCGGAGAAATTCGAATCATAATTAGAAACTAATTTGAACTTGTATAAATGTCTACTTTTTAAAGTGTTGTGTCCATCAATGTATCTCAAAAAGAGAAATAGATCTTATATGTTCGATTTATTTTTTTGCAGGAAAAATTATTTCGATTGTATTACAACTTTCGACTTTGTATTACAAATTTCGTGTGTATAACACGAAATGTCGCAAAATGTCGCGTTACAAAAAAAAGGCAGAATTAATGTAGAGAAAGAAATTATTTGCAACTTACATTTATTTGGTTCTTGGTCCTCGGAGTGTGTGAAGGAATTGATTGCCGCAGCATTCCGCGTGATAGTTTGCTTTCGTGCTTTTCGTTTCTGGCTTCCTACAAGAAGAGCTTTCTCTGATTCCTCCGAGCCCTCATTCGTCGTATACGCTCTTCGAGTTTGTCCATTCGTCTGGCTGTTCGAGGACGAATTATTTTGGTGTTTTCTGCTTGCTGTGGAGTTGAACTTTTGCAGAATTTTCTTTTTTTTCGTGCGTTGCTGCTTCTTCTTTTCTTGAAATTCTTCTAAACTTAACGACGGTAACGCTTCAATCTTCTTTTCCAAATTAAAGTCCCTAAGCAAACATTAATTATATAGCTCTTAGATTAGATTAGATTAGATTATTATAGAATTACAGACAATAAGCGATAATAGAAACTTACTCTGCTCGAAATCTTTTGCGCGCAGTCCAAGGTCCGTAATCTATCTGAGCTTCGGCTCCTTCGGTTTCTGTGTCTTCAGGTTTGGAGGCTTCCATGTTTCCCTCAGCGCTGGATATAACGCACATTTTCAGATTATTCTCGTATGCAAAAAAAGATAATGTAATACTTGAATGATTAAAAATGTTACCTCTCCACCAGATGTTCCAGTTCCCCGCGAGAGCTATTTCCTCCCTCGCTGCTCAAGGAATCTGTTTTCTCACTGACATTTGAAGAAATAGAATTCCTTCTTTCGTTCGAACGTTCGTCCGAGCTAGCGCGAAAAAAGAATACATCTCTTTATGGAGCTTCAGTCAACGATATTTTACTTTATATTATATTTTTATTTATATTTCACTTCGAACAAAAGTTTTGTTCGTACTACTTACCCTTGGCTTGCAGCCACTCGTCTGCGTTTGGTTTGTTGGCCCGACGGGCCGATATTTTTCATCTGCTCGGCGAGGAATTTCTGATAACGTAAACCTTTACACGTCCTTTCGCTGCGAAAGTTGTTTTCCTCCGGCGGTGTCGTCAAGAAAGAATTTATCGTGTGTTTCTCATCTTCCACGATCTAAACAATTCATTGTGAATACTCCAACACAAACAAGATATTGTTTTGTCGAGAAATTTAAGAAACTTCAAATATCAACTTTTTTCATGGACACAAGTCCATCCTTACCGTCTCGTGTTGCTCGTTGTTATTCGATTCGGCTCTTTTCCTTTTCTTTTCGCCGAAGAGGTCCGCCTTGCAGTCTCTTTTCTGTTCACCTTGGAACGGCGATTCCGTGTATCTCTTCTTGGGCGGCTTCGGCACAGCATCGTTCTCCGTCGCTACACCGTTGACCGCGATCTCCTCCTCAGGCGGTTCTGTCTTCTGCGGGGTAAAGAGGGAACTGAGACCGCCGATCTGCGACTCGTCCGCCAATTTGCCCGGCTGAATCGACTGTCCGTCCCGCCTGTCTGACTTTGTACAATCGGAAGACTCGTACTCGGATTTGACACTGTCCGCGGGCTGCGCGCTGCTGTTACTACTGGACTCTTGCTTTTTGTTGGTAGGCCTAGTGCTCAAAGTACGAAGCGGAGGTGCTGGCAATTTGTACCACTTGAAATCAGGATTTGCATTGAGGAACGCATCCTTGTACTGAAAAGAAACGAGAAAAATCATTATGCCGCGTGCTGCCGCCCGTGTGATCTTAATGACGCTGAGGAACACGTCAGATGAACGTAATGTTTTATTCTTGGCGACACGAGGCTCCTCGTTCTCGCCACTTTCCAGAATAGCTCGGCGATTTTGCCGCTCGCGATTTCACGCTTACCTCCTGCGCGAGATTCGTGTAGGAACGCTTCTGATCGGGATGCAGCGTCGCCCACCATTCGCCCAAGACCCTCGTGACGGCACGATTTTCCAAGTGCGGGTAGCTCGATCTCACTGACGCGCGGTGCCGCTTGCAGAAGATCAGGAACGCATTCATGGGACGTCTCGCATGGTGGGCTGGCTCCCGTGTTTCGCGTGGGTCCTATTTATTCACACAATAATTTACATGTATGTCAGCAAGCTGTATGTCGCGTTTTTACACGTGTAACGTAACGCGATTATGTAACAAAGACATCACGAGACGATGTCACGAATTTATCTTATTCCTCTCCGAGCGGTGACAAAAATTGTTTTTTTTTTATTGTTTCGACTTTTTGCAAGTAAAATTTGCAATACTCTCTTTATTGAATGGATATTATTGAAGCAAAAACACCTGTCCGCTACGTGTCATCCAGATCTATTTTTATTTGTCTCTAACTGATAAGATTTTATTCCTAACCGTCTCTCCGCATCTAATATGAATCTTTAACACGTTGTTTACACGTGAATAATCAGAAGGTATTCCGAGTGTTTTTACGAAGGCGGATGAACGAGAGAAAGAGAGGGACAAAAAGAGAAAAACAAGTTCTTGCTCTGCCCTATGCACATCGGGAAACACCCGTATGCATCATCCTCGCGACCATATAAGTGAGCATGTCGCCGATGTATTGGTGAGAAGCCTTTAAAGTGACACGGCCCGTCAATTTCTGAGGGTCGTACGTTGCTGCCTGCTGAAACTTTTATGTCTGACATTGATCCACATACGATTCAGCCGAAGCTCGGCCAAAGAGAGAGAGAGAGAGAAAGAGAGAGAGAGGGAGGGGGGGAGAGAGAGAGAGAGAGAGAGAGAGAGAGTAGAAGAAAATAAAGAAAGAAGAAAGAGGCCACGCGGATTAATCTAGAGGAGAGAATACAGCCGATCCGGGAAAATGTATCGTGCATCGCGCCGTGTCCAAAAATAAGCAAGAAAGCACATCGCGGCTCGTGAAAAAGAGAGGGAGAAAAAGGGGAGAGGAGAGGAAAGAGAGGGGAGAGAGAGAGAGAGAGAGAGTCTTGCACGCGAAACGGGCTGTGCGTGCACAATTGCAACATATGTCTGAGACGGCGACGTTTTAACGAGGTGGGAAGGGACGCCTGCGAAAATGCACGGACAGACTTGGCCGGACGACGGCTGAGAGGGAATCCGTCGGCAAGGTTGTGTCGCTAGACGCTCGCGAGCCATCGTGCAAAATCATCAGTCGCGCTTATTCGCAATGACACGAAGATTTCGTGACAGAGAACGCGGCCCGCTCGCGGGATCCGAAGTGCCGCTGCACGGCAATTAATTCGCTCGGCGAGAACGCTCGGTCAAGCGTTCGCTCGGATTGATTGTATGCGTCTCGATGTGACACAAAGCGCCTTCGACGACGACGACGACGACGACGATAATGACGACAGTGACGTTTATCGGCGGCCGAGATACAAAGCGCGATACAAACACAGAGGCGAGACAGCGCGGAAGGAGCGCACCGCGTCGATTATCAGAACGGGACTTCCGAGGGGGCGAAAACAGAGAGGCCGACCTGGGTAGGCATGCATGCATGCATGCCACGGCTTGGAATTACGGGCTCGTGTATTGCCGACGCAGGGAACTTAACGGAGGGAGACGTTGTCTCGCCTTCTCTCCCTTTCTCCTTCTCTCTCTATCTGTCTACCTCTTTATCTCCATAGCTCTCTTTTTTCTTTCGTTTCTTTTTGCAATACACAGATCGACAAGATTTTCCTGATGAGACGGTCCTGAGTAGGATCGTCGCGATTGGCGCATATGTTCTTCACGAAAACCGAGGCCGAGCGGAAGCATGACGACCGAATCGGTCTGGAACATTTCCAGACAGGTTGGACGTTCTGTCCCGTCGACTTTCCTACACGTCCAGTACGAAGGGCGAGAGAAAAAGGGAGCGACAGAAGGGGAGATCTCGTTCTCTCTCGATGGTTCGCACGAACGCAAGCTGTCATAGGTTGCAACTTCGGCATCGAACGCTATATTGCAGCCGTGCGCGCAGCGCGCTTTGATTGCACCATCGTCAGCAAAATTCGCGGAGGAGACAACGAGAGAGAGAGAAAGAGAGAGAGAAAGAGAGAGAGAAAGACAGAGAGACAGAAAGAGGACAGACAGATCGGCACGACGGTTCAGGAGAGTAGTCGGTAGAAGATAACACGCTCGTCTCACTCACGTAGTCGTCGTGCATTTTCTCTCGTTTCTCACGAAACAACGAACGTCGCGCACTGACAGCTGCTCGGCTGGATGTAAATATCGCGACTGACTGCGCGATCTTTGAATGAAGACGTGCGATTATCCGGGAATGCGGCGCGCGCGGGGGAAGTCCGTGAATCACGTTATCCCGGGGACTACGTCGTCAGGGAAGCACATCGATATCTCTGGCGCATTCACGTCGTCGCGGCTCGTATCCTCGCCGTCCTCGCGAGCGTGCGTCGAGCGCGAGCGACCGACACGCGACGTTATACGCGCGACAAACAGATCAGTCGTGACTTTTGACACAAAAGCGACGCGGCGCGTCCGTATACACTGTCCTGTGTGCTCGACGACACGAGAGTCGTCGTGCGACGTGCCCGTCGGCGACGGCGGGGTCGCGTCCAGTCGTAGTCGACGGGAAAATCGGCCGCCGCTGTGCGCGACTCACTCACCTTACGTTGTTGCTCGTTGGCAGCCATTTCTGATTTCACTTGACAATTCACTCAGCAGCGCATAATACAGATAAAGCTGCAGTAGTACACTGGCGCTCCGCGCGCTGCCCGAGTTCTCGTGCCTTCTCACTCGCACACACGCGCCGCGCGCACGTTCTCTCTTTCTCTCTCTCGCACTCGCCGTCCTTTATGCGCCTGCGTGCGCACACGGCCTCTCTCACTGTCCATCTCGCTCCCACCGACATGAGCGCTAGACACACGGCCCGTTCGCGGCCCACGTGAGAGAAAATTCACGTCGGATACCGTGTGCGAAAGAGAAGAGAGATAGAGGACTTCCATTCGATTGCTCGTGCGTTTCGGAACTTCTCATTCGTTCATTCGTTTCTTTTCAGTTGCAGCTAGATATGTCAGAGGGCACGTCAAGTTGGGAAATGCGCGGAAGGGAGTAGGAGCGTTTCCGCCGGGCTTTTCAATGAAACGTCGCACAATCGTTCACGTCGTGACCACGTTTGGTTACGGCGGCTTTTCTCGCTCGTATTCTTCTTGACACCCGATTTTACTGCGAGTCATTTCGACGTGACCCGCTGGACTCTCTCGAGACACGGCCGACGTCGCAATTTCGCTGAGTGGAATGTGTTCGAATTGTCGCGCGCCGCAAGATGGCGCGCGCGTGTATGCCCTCGCAACAACGTAAAAGTCACTAGATCACGCGAAAATACACAACGGAACAGCTGATCGCCGTGGTCGAGCAACAGCTGTTGTCGACCGGATGATTGTCAAATTTAGAGCCGTCGCTCCCCACCGTCGGTAAATTTAGTCACGACCAATGAGTAAATGGATGAATCATTTCTCGTAGAATTCCGTCCTGAGGGACAAAACAAACGATAAACGACTCTTCTGCACTTATTGAAATATTTTTTATTAATCTTGTCTTTTGTAGGGCAATCTCGTCTTGAGTAGAATTGACATTGTTCGAGAGATTTGACTTCTGACTTCGACTATTATTGACTTCGAGCGATAACAGATAATCGATAAGACGGAAGAATTGTATCAATACGTGAAATAAAGCGTCACACAATTCGCGTTTATCATTCTGAGTAGAGAACAAGGTTTGGGATCAATGGAGGTTAATTACACTGGTTAGACATGAAATATCGCGTTGGATGTAATACATCTAAAAGTAGACAAAGCTAAATATATATATATATATATATATATATATATATATATATATATATATATA